GGCGGGAGGCGAGCGCTGCCGGGTGCACAGTGATGATGTCTGGGCTCCTCCTCCTGCCACAAGGGATGTTTGGGGAGACAGGAGCTGCTTTGCTCCTGCTTGGGAGCTTCCAATGGAGCAGCGAAATCCCCAGGAGCTGGGAACTCTGCTCCCTGCTCCAGCAGGGATGGGCTCATCCCACAGCAGAGCTTCACCTGGGTCCTGGACAGAGGGAGATGCTCCAGTTCGCACCAGGGCAGGGACAAACCACACAGGACATTTATGCAACAGCCCCAGAGAGATCAATGCCGCTCAGAGTTGTTGCATCACGTAACGGACCGCAGGAGCCTCTCCTTTATCCCCCCGTTTGTTACAGAGCGCTGAGTTGACAGCCAGAGCTTGCAGGAAAGCAGAGCCCGTTCCAACAGATCGGGTTCTGCTGCTCATCGCTTTTCCAGCTGCCCTGGCCATGGTGCAGGGTGGGAGGTGGAGATTCCTGGCCCTCAGCAGCTAAAAATAAGCACCTGGAGCAGCAGGAACAGGTTGGTCCCTGCGGAGGCCTCTGCAGGCAAAGGGGGCAGAGCTCCATGACCAGTGCTGCAGCAGCTGCAGCAGAGCAGGAGCAGGATGCCCGGGGTGTGGATGCCACGGTCCCACCCCAGGCTGGGCAGGTTGGGGTACACAGGAGATCACAGCACACAGCCCATCCTGTGCCGGTGCTGTGCTGCAGAGCCGAGCTGAGGGCTGGTACAGGAGAAGGAAGAGCCCACTCCTTCAGGATATGACGGCAAAACCACGGAGATAAACCCAGCTCCCAGCACAGCAGTTCCTCCTCCCCTCCGCACCCTTGCATGGGCTCAGTGCAGCAGAAGCAGCCTCCCTCAGCACCCACCTTGAGCTGGGGATGACGGTGCTCACGGTGGCTCAGCCCTGGCTCCCTGCACCACTGGGCCTACCTTGTCACCCCACCACACCTCCCATCGCAGGCACACGCATTGCCCCTCCTGACCCCCACCCCACACAGGTACCTCTGCAGCCCCACATCCCCAGTGCACACATGGGGTCACACAGTGAGGGACCCCGATGTGGGATAAGCACCACGAGCGCGCGGCGGCGGGTTGGGATGCGACAACCGGGAGCAGCAGCACTGACCTTGTGGGGAGGAGAGAAATGAGCTCCCGATGCATCAGGCAGCTCATGTGCTCCCCGGGTCCCTTCGAGAGGGAGCATTAAGCCATTAAATCATGAAACCTCAATGGCACAGCAGCTCCAGCTCCTGCAATGCCCCACGGTGCCGGGAGGGATGCCTGGATGCTGCATGAGCAGATGTGGGTCTGGCGCATGCAGGGAGAGTCTGGCACATGCAGGGAGGCTCTGGTGCATGTGATGGGGATGTGGTACATGCAGGAAGAGTCTGATGCATGTGATGGAGGTCTGGCGCATGCAGGGAAGGTCTGGTCCTGCAGGGATAGATAGACTGGGGCATGTGATGTGAGTCTGGCACATGCAGGGGGGGTCTGGAGCATGCAGGGAGGGTCTGGCAAGTGCTCTGCAGGTCTGCTGAGCATCCTGTGTGTGCAGTGCCTGCTGTGAGGGTCTAATGCCTGCAATATGGGTCCAGTGCTTGTGATGCAGGACTGGTGTGCATGGTGCAGGTGCAGGTACATGAGATTGGGGTCTGGCGAGTGTGACACGAGCCCGGTGCATGCCGTGGGGACCAGTGCATGCACTGCGGGTCCGGTGGGCGTGCCCCGTGCCCGGTGCATGCAATGCGGCTGAGCTGCGGGCCCGATGCGCGACCCTCCCCGAGCACCCCCAGCCCATGCCCCCCCCCACCTCGCCCGCTCGCTCCGGGTCCCCCCTCCCCGCTCCGCAGCCAGCAGGGGCCGCGACCCCCCCCCCCGCTCCGCTCCGCTCCCCGCTCACCTGCGCGGGCCCCGCTGCCGATGTCCGGGGCGGCAGCGCCGGGGGGGGGGGTCAGGGACCTGCCGGGAAGGGAGAGAAGAGCGGGGGTGAGCGGCGGAGCGGGGCACGGACCCGTGACACCCCCCCCCCCCTCCCCGCCATCCCGGTACCCCCCCGCCTCCATCACCTGCGCCGGCCTCCATGGGTGCGGCGGGATGGATGGAGGGAGGGAGGGATGGAGGGAAGGAGGGAGGGATGGAAGCAGGGAGGGAGGGATGGAGGGAGGGATGAGCCTTGCAGCTGCGTAATTTGCCTCCCTCCTCTGCGCTCTTAAAGCGACGGCGGCGCCGGCACCGCCCCCCCCGCCGGGTTTCCCCCCCGTTTCTATGGCAACGCCCCTTCGCCGGGATGCACAACCCTGAATTTTAAGGAAAAGCCGGTTTTGGGGGTCCCTTCCCCGCAGCGGAGCCCCGCGGGTCCCGGCGCTCCGCTCCTCTCCCCGTGTAACCCCGGAGGAGGAGGAGGAGGAAAGGGAGGAGGAGGAAAGGGGAGCCCCACGCTGCGGCTCTCCCCGGCCCTTGGAGTGCCCCCAGCACCGCAGTTTTCATCTAACCAGCCCAACTGGGAGGACAGGACATCCGTGTGCTCCCAGTGACGCGCTGCGTGCAGCCACATAAATCCCGGAGCGATGATCCCTGCTCCCTGCTCCCTACCGGCGGCCGGGGCCTCGCTCCGGGTACCACCGACAACCAGCGGGACCCAGCACAAGTCGGAGCCTCCCCCGGCTGGCAGCGGCTGCCACGGCCCGTCCGATGTCCCGAGCACGGTGTGGGCACGGCGGGTTTCCTCCTGGAGCTCTCGAGGTTCAACCTTTCAGACTAAGGAGCAGGCATAGGGCGAGGCTGCTTCATGCTTGCTGGGAGCCACCGGGCAGAACAGAATCAACGAGGTTGGGAAAGACCTTTAGGCTCATTCAGTCCAACTGTTAACCCAAGGCCACCACTGACCCATGGCCCCAAGTGCCACATCTACCTCTTTTTAATACCCCCAGGGCTGGTGGCTCCTGTTCCGATGCCTGAGCACCCTCTGGGGCAGGAATTGTTCCTCAGCTCCATCTAACCCTGCCCTGGTGCAGCTTGAGGCCGGTTCCTCTTGCCCCATCCCTTGTTCCTTGGGAGCAGAGCCCAGCCCCTCCTGGCTCCATCCTCCTGTCAGGCACTTGTAGGGAGCCATCAGGTCCCCTCTGAGCCTTCTCTGCTCCAGACTGAACCCCCCAGGTCCCTCAGCCCTTCCCCATCACACTTGGGCTCCAGGCCCTGCACCAGCTCTGGTGCCCTTCTCTGGCCCTGCTCCAGCATCTCAATGTCTCTCTTGTAGTGAGGGGCCCAGAGCTGAACACAGATTGCAGGTGCACCCTCACCAGTGCCCAGCGCAGTCAAACCGTCACTGCTCTGGTCCAGACTGGTTTTGGCTCCATCACTGCCCCAGTTATTGCAGCTGAAAGGACCCAAGGGTGGCTACAGCCTGGAAAAGCAGTGATGTGCACGTGTGCCCACGTTACACCCGTGTCCCTAACACCCTATGTACGTGTTTGCTGGTGGAAGCAGTTCACACCCTGGTGGGGTAGGAGCAGAACCCCATGTCTGGGGCTGGAGCCGAGGCCAGGGCTCTGAGCTAAATCCATGCTCAGGGCCCTGTGCTCCCGCTGCCCTCAGAGGAACACTCCCTCACTCCCCCTCCGTTATTCCCAAGTTCTGACAAACCTGCTTTGGGAACACCTGCACTCTGTTCCCGACCTATTTCCTGCAAGCTCTGTACCTCATTTACCCCGACACACCGACTCGTTTCCATGTACACGTCTCCTGCCTCTCACCTCTTCCTGCCCGCCTCCAGCCTCCTTTTGTTTCCCTCTTTCCTGGTGAATCCAGCACAGAGCTGCTCTCCCTGAAAGGAAAATGAATGTGTTATCGCCTCTGCTGCCACTGGAGCGGCTCTTACCACGTGGCAGCAGTGCCGGTGGGAGATGCAGAGTCATTCCGGATGGCTTTGGGGGCAGAATAACACGGTTTCTCCTTCCCTCCCCTCCCTCTGTGTCACAGGGGCTCACTGGACACTGTGCTGCTGGGGATCGGGGCTGGTGCAGGGGAATGGGGTGAGGTTTTTGCTCCTCCTTTGGCCATGCACTCACTGAGAGTCAGATTTAGGGAACCAACCCTTCCCTGAGCCCAGGTTGGTCCCTGATTCCCAAGTAAAACTGGTCCCAAAAGAGGAGAGGGGAACACACCACCCTCAAGTGCAATCTTGGCCAGACACTTCTGGGGAGCAGCGCTCCCATTCCCATCAGAAAAGGAAAAGGCCATTTCTCTTGCAGTAAATGGGAAGATTTTTACCAAATAGGGTTGTTTTTCCCTCCCTTACAGCCAGAGAGGTAACGTCATGGCGAGCAAAGGCTTCTTCCTGCTTATTTTATCAAATAGAAGTAAGAATCCAGGTGGAACAGCCCCGGACCCAGGCCCAGCACAGGCTCTTCACAAATACACTGGGACCACCCGGACACCAGCATCCTCCATCCTTCCAAATGTAAGAAAATCCCCCAAAACACTGACTGTGAGAAGGAGATCCCAGAGTTTGAGCACAAACAGCAAGGAGCACAGGAGATGAAGTGTTCTGGTTTTTATTGATTTCATGGTGACGGGGGGATGTACCCACAGCCACCTGCACAGGCTCAGTGTGCCTGAAGAACACCACCACATGACAGTACAGGTGTTAAAACTCATCCTAAATTAGATGCAAATGCAAAGAACGACAAGGTTTCCTTTAACAGCCATTTTTAAATAGGGCTACACAGAAATAAAAGAGTTCATCTTTAAGTGAACATGCTCCATGGAACGTGAAATTGGAGGGTTTGCAGAGGAGAGGGTTTGTCCTGCTGCTTATGTGACTCTTCCATGGACTGGGTAACCTCTCCCTGCCTGAACACATGGAAACAACGCTGGAGGGACTACCTCCCTGGGCCTTGAAATGGCAAACATTGGCCATTCCCTGGAAGGAATCATTGCAAACAGATGGATTTAGGATACAGAGAACTCAGCAGATTTCTCTTACCGATGGTGTGTTAGTTCAAATCCTGTCTCCCACAAAGGATTTTAAGGACTTTTCCTAAAATCCCTCACAACATAAATCCCTCCCTAATTTTTTTAGTGATATTTTATTAACAGAATAAGTAACTGCTTATCACCAAACCAGCTATATTAGAAATAAACAAGCTAGGGAACACGTTGGTAACCATGGTGGCACATCATGGCACACGGCACGAGCCTGTGACGGGGTATTTCAGAGGTGGCTCCATGGTTTAACAAGACATTCGATCATTTTTCCCCAAGAATCCATTTGCTGGAAAATCACCAATCAATCAATCAATCAGGTTGAGTTTTGGTGGCTTATCTGGCTCTGACCCGAGGTCAGTGAGCATCAAACATAGGGCCGGGGGTGGCTGTGATGTTGGCAAAGGGAACGCTCTGCCTGAGCTCCACAACCAACTGCTTCTTCAGCACCAGGAGGATGTAAAACTTGGCTGCGGCCTCTTTCCGGTTGTTTTTCCGACTGAGATCCCGGAAACTGAAGGAGCTCAGCCCGGATCTCTTCAGGTGCTGCAGGAGGGAAGCAGGACAGTCAGGCTGGCTTTTCATCTGAAGCACATCTGAAATGGTTTTCAGCATCCAAACCAATAGGACTCATCACTGCCTGTTCTCTGGGTGCTGGGTATCACCTCTGTCACAGGCAGCTAACCAAGTGTTATTATTTCTTGGGGTTTAATGGCTACACTTATATGAAAGGTCCCTTCAAACCCAAACCATTCCACAATTCCTTGATTCTACAAGGAGGAGATAGTCTGACACTTCTGTTGGATCATGTCAGGCACTCAGAATCCTGGTTTCCCAATACCCAAGGAAACACAACAGCAGTAATGGGGTCAAGTGTTCAAGGCCAGGTTGGACAGGGCTTGGAGCAACCTGCTCTAGTGGAATGTGCTCCAGTCTGTGTCAGGGGGTTGGAAATGGATGAGCTTCAAGGTCCCTTCCAACCCAGACCAGTGTGGGATTCCATAAGGAAGAGTTTTCTGACAGGGTCCAACTGAAATCAACACCTGAGTTTGGCATCTAATTATAAAATCCAGCACTGGTACCTGTAAGGCTTTTAAGAACTGGAGAGTTCTTTTGTTCCATCTGATTTCTTCACTGTCTTTCCTGTTCCTCGTGAGCTCCTTGAGAGGAAATAGAACAGAAGGTTAGGTGGCATGTGCATGATAACAAGGACAAGAGTTCTAACTGAAAATCCTAGCTGGAACTGGGCATTTTGGTGGCCATACTCAGGATATCTGGGACCTCTGACACCTCTGTGGTCACACAAGGCTTTGTGGAACAGAAAGGAATGCTAACTATGTTCTTTCTGCTACCAAGGAGCAGCTCAGGTGTATGGCAGCACTGTGGAGACGGTCACATTGAGGCCTGGAGAGGCAGGTCCACAAGAAGACACCGCCCTGCATGCCTGGGTTGTGACAGCATTTGTGCTGGTCAGGGTCAAAAAAGGGTGTTCAAAAATCTGGGTTTAGGCTTTGGGTTTAACCTCTGAAGGCTAAAGGTGATGTGAGTGCAGCCAAACAAGGCCATGATGCCATCAGTGCTATTTTAATCCATCTGAGGAAGAACAGAGTGTGACACAGGCCAGAGCAGCCAGCCTGGAGCACACATACGTTTGTTAGCTCAGCTTGCTGCATTTCAGCTTCTTGGTCCAGGATACTGGTCACCAGTGAGGAGCTCTCAGACAAAACCATTGCACCCTGGTGTCAGAACAGAGAGTGATCAACAGGAGTTACAGCTCATGGGTACAGTGCAAATCCCAATTACACAATTCTGTTCCAAGAATGTATTACAAGCAATGTTTTCCAGAATGATGGAATGGTCCCTATTTTTACTACATCTCACTTAGGAAAGGACTTCGCTTTAGTATTTATCCTACAGCTGATCTGCACCTACAGGCTTGCTTCAGGCACAGACCCTACATGTTCTGCTACGGTTAGATCCAATTTTGTCATGCTTTTCCAACTTTAATGAGCCTCATATTCCCTAAGGAATGCCCTTGTACCTCAGCCTGAGTAAAGACAGCAGAAATAGATGATTTGTTATTGCTTATTTCCTCAATATGAGACACAAGAGGTAAGTTTTATCCTTTATAAAGATGATTAGATTGATCTCTGCAGTATAGAGGCTGTATTTCACATTTAGTTATCACGTATAATTAGAGATCTGACTCCAATCTATACTGATTAATAGACATTTTAATTTATCATTAATTCATTGTGTCTACCAAAGTGCTTATAAATAAACTTTTATGCCTCTAAATAAACTATCAGCTCCCTCTAGCATGTCTTCAAACAGGTAGTAGGAACTTCTTAACATGTTTTGAATGGAACCCTGGCATAAAACAACATCAAGAAATACATTTAGGTGTCTAAAATTTATGGAAACTGCTCACTATAGTTTCACCACAGTGATCATCAGTTACATTTCTGTTATTCTCTGATGGCAACATAAACGAATCATGTCTAATTTTTCTCTCAGTGTCTGAATGAGCTGACTCCTGCAGGAAACTTGGCTCTTCTACTATCAGCATCTCTGCATCAATGAAAAAACAAGGTTTAAGAGGCAATTCCTGGCAATCTCTGTCCTTAAAAATACATTGAAACCCAACAGTCACACCCCCATGGGCAGTATTTGAGAGCAAGAGCCAGAAGGACTAAACACAGAATAAATATTCCCAATCAGATCATGGAAGAAGAAGAACCTGCCAAGAGAGTTTTCCCTTTCCTAGAAGTTGACCTTTAGGCACTGCAGGAGGTGGTTCTGCTGATGAACGGAGGCAGGCACCCAGATTGTATTTCTAGCAGAGCAAAGGGGTGAAAGCAGATACATCACCTCAGAACATCTGAAATAGGACATTTCCTCTCGCTTGGTATTAACCCAAACGCTGTCTTCAAGATACAAATATATGTTATTGAGATGAATTTGAAAATCTGGGGAGTGGTTTGGTTAAACTCAGAAAAAGTGGGAAGCTTTTGTTCTGTTTTTAAAACACATCTGCTGTGTGGTAGACAATTAGAAAAGCAAAAGGGACCCCAAAAATACCTCTTTATGCCACAAGGAAGAAAAATACCTGAATTTAATTTCTGAGCTAAGGAGCAAAAGAACAACAAAGTACTTATAAAAACAAAAAGCACTTTAAAAAAATAATTAATAGCCAATTTCCTCAACATTAAACTTTTTTTGGCCTTTGCTTTGTACAATACTGCCCATTCTCTTAAACATTAGGTAAAATAGGGAGTATTTTCTAACAGCTAATTCTGCAACAACAGAGTTAAAACATTACCTGTGATCTCTTGCTCTTTTCTTGTTTCCTCCATTTCAGACCCCCTCTGTATTTCCTTCCTTCTCATCTTAAATCCATGACTCTTGAAGCATGTCGCAAGGAACTGCAAACAATTATTTGCGCTGGTTTGCTTTCAGACCACCACATCACATTATTTGCAAGCACCAACACAAAGGTATCAATGTGAGCTGTGGATCAGTTACTGCAACCCAGAATTTAGGTATTTGAATTAGGCCATACTGAAAATCTGGATTTTTTGATTTATTTTTTTAATAATAGCTTTCTCCAGCTTCAACATTGCAGTGAACTCCATGAAGAAGCGCTTTAGGAACAGCTTGGATCGGTTTTCCTTGAAGCCAGCCAGTCAGGAAGGATGAAAGAAAGAAAGAAACATCTGCAGCTCTGTGTGTGTGAGTAACATTCATCCTTGGCAGAGTGAGCTAGCTGTAGCTCTGCCCCTGGACTCTGAGTGGTGAAGCTGCGCTGCTGTGAACCTGCAGTGCTGCTGCTGGCCTGGAGCCCCTGCTGCCCTGCTGCCCTCACCAAGCCACACAGCACAAGGCACTGCAATAACGCTGCTGCACATGGCTTATACCAGGGCTCTCATTATCACCTTTAGCTCTTCTTTATCTTATCACCAGCTCTAAACTTACTACCAAGCTTCTTCAAACAATCTGTCAGATGCTACATGAGGACAGGAAAGGTCCTTTGCAACCCAAACCATTCTGTGATTCTATGACTCTATGAAATGAAACGTCAGCTCTCATGGGTTTTTTGTCATCTTTCACTTGGTGGTGGACAGCTGGAGATGAAAGCCCTCAGCTCTACAGATGGGCTTCCTAATGGAGCAAGTGCTCCAGTTGAGAGCATGCAAATAACCATCAGGTATCCAACCCAGCTATACGGCAGAACAGGACTCCAGTGATGCCACACACATGGGAAGGAGTTCACAGCAACCCAAGCCTGAAAAGCCTCTCACAGTGAGCTCCTAACCTAACTAGTGATATAAAACCCTGCAAGGACTCAATCTTTACCATTTGCAGCTTAGCAGGAAGCAGCAGCTGTGTTGTGTGGGACAGGAGTTTATCCACACCTCCAGATTTCTTCCACAGCATTGTTTTTTTGGTTGGGGGGGCGAGGTCTAAGGTGGCCGTGATGTCTGTGTAGTTGTTCAGTTGGTTGTACATGGCATAACAGGTGAGTTCCTTGTCTACATCCACGAACAACTTCCTCTTTCTTTTATTCTTTTTCCTCTGGGTGACAGCTAAAAAAAAAAAGGAGGTCTAAATAATGTCTATTCACAGAACCCTCAGGTATGGAACAGGCACCGGACTCAAACAGACAGGCTGACAACCTCCCAGAACATCACACAGACTTGAAAACCAAAGTACAAGCTCCTGGGCCACTTCACCAAAGGTATTCGTACATATACTCCTTGTATTCCTGTACAGGAACTTCACACATGCTTAATGGCAGAAGACATATGACTATTGCACTAAAGAACCAGGAACATGAGAACTTAATGAGGACACATGATATGCCACCAGGACTGAATAATCTCTCTCTAATCCATCAGGAAGTTAATTATTCCAAGAACTGCTGATGTCCTCAACAGGTTTCTTTACCTCCTCATGAATATCTGTATTTGTCAGTTTAATCCTTTAGCAGCTGGATTAAGATGTATGTAGTAAACAGGAAAGAAAGCCAGAGATTGGTTATATGGCCATAACTTCCTGAATACTGTTTTGGCAGGCTGGAAAATTCCAGAATGCTAAATAATAGTGTCAACATGAACTTGTTGATGCAAACATTCAGCAAGAAACTGGTCACGTTCTGACCTGTAGCATCAAGTGGCTCAAGCACAAATCCATCATCTTTCAACACGAGTGTGGTTTCACTCGCTAGGTGGCTGACTTCCTTATTGATGGTGTCTGCACAGCAGGACTCAGCTATAAGAAAACCCAGAAAATAACCCCAAATTTAAGAAATTATTCCATCTTGTAAAGTTTTTTATCTCACACCACAAAATGATAGGATCACAAAGAAGATCAGAATTAGAGAACCATGAATTTGTCTGTAATTTCACAGTTTTAAAGAAATGGGGGGGGGGGGGGTATAAGGATTTGAGATATCAAAAGATTTCCAGAAACACTTTTCAGAAATCAGTTTCACTGGTATCAAACCAAAAGAAGACAAACAACAACCGCATGATCTTACTGAAGTGTCACTTGTTGTAATATGAAGCCAGAAATACTCATAGGTGAAGTTCAAAGTTACAGCAAGCCCTCATTCAGTTTCCCTTCCCCTCCAGAAGTGATCTCCTGCTGTGGAGGCAGCAGGTGGATCAACAGCGTGTCCAACAGGATGTCATACCAAAGTGTTCCTAAGCAATGCCAAGTTACAGACCTGGGATCCCCAGGTCTAATTGAATTATACCCAAAATGAAGAATATTAGGGGGGAAAAAAAGAGCAAAATAAATGAACCAAGGCAAAAGGGATGGGACACGGTACAAAGCTGAGTGTGAGCAACTTGAGGCACTAGTGCAGGAACAGGGGTTGGTGTGAGGACAGCAGGGTGGGTGCTGCAGACTCACCGGCTGTGCTCTTCTCCAGTGGCTCTTGGGACAAAGGGTTTTCTTCCTCCATACCAAGAATGTCTAGATCCAGGCCTGTGTGCTCATCCCTCAACAGGATTTCTTACATATAAAACACATCGTTTTAATCATTCAAAGCTTTAGTAGCCATGAAATAGCCTGATACAAACTAATGTGACTTATTTAAGGTTAATCCTCAGCAAACAAAACCGTTCAGCTCCCACAAATGGCTGCAGTGGAATGGTGGCTTTCAGGGGTGCAAAGAGGAGAGGGTTACTCTTCACTGTGAGTTTCCACCATTGCTCTGAAGTATTACATTGATATTGTTTAAAAGGTATAAATCTAAAAAGGTTTATGTAACTACTCTAAGCCATAAAGATGTAGAAGCTCCTTTGCTGCCTTTGCTCTTACAGTAAGGATAAAATGCTGCAGTGCTTCACCTTCAAAAATACGAACTAAATGGCTCAACATTAAGTATAACTGGAATGCCTTTAATTCTAAAAACCTGAAATATAACCTTTAAACCATTTTTATTTGGCAGTGTCTGGCATGGACTGTCATGTCAGTCGTATGTCATAGATTCAGTGCTAAGTAGAATGCAAAGGAAGCATGAATTCAACAAGAAAACAACAGAACTTCTGTTTGAAAGCAATCACTTTCACTCTGTCCTGTTTGTTTTCCTGCCAGAATAAAAATATTTGGAAAGAAACTGATTCTGTTTATCTGTGTCAAACCTACCTATCATATCTGCAGCATCCTCCTCATCTCCAAAGCAGTCATACTCAAAACAGAAGGTCTCCTCTCGCAGAGCAGACATGTCCCTGTTCACACTCACAGAGCGATCCACCACAACACTGTTGCTGCTTGTTAAGATGCTGCCGTCAAAGAAGCTTTGTTTCCTCAGGGCGTCTGGTTTGTCATCTGAAGAAACACAGAATATCCCACGCTTTGTCTTCAGGAATCTTTGAAACACATCTATCCATTTCCTAATGTTTCAAATCATTTTTAAAAGGTTGTAAGATGCCCCAGTGCCTCAAATGGAACAAAAACCAACCTGCAGCTAATTCAGTAAAAAGCAGAGCGTTGGGTTTGATTCTCTGCTATCACATTATACTACTTAGGTGGAGTTATTACACAAAAAATTTAAGCATAAAACAGCATGACAGAGAAATCAGCACAAATACCAGCTTTTCACATGTGGAAAGGACACAGACTGTACCAAATTTTGCATAAACACACTTTTCTTTAGGGAATATTTCTAATTTCTCAACTTCTCTCACCAAAGTTTCTGTCACACAGAAGTAAATTGCTCTCATAATCCTCTACAAGCGTGATGTCCTCAGCTCTGCTCTGGTTCAAGGTGAAGTGTTCAGCAACGTCAATGGCACTGATGGAAAAAACATCACACAGAATAAAAGGAGAACTGAGAGCCACTGAGCTTTAGGCTGGAATGTGAAAACTTGCTTCTAAACAGTCACCAATCTGATGTTTTATCATAAACCCCCAAAGACAGCTTGTTTTCCATGGCATTGGAAGCACCCTGGCTGATCCTCAAGGAGAGAACATTTTTTCCCCAAGGCTATTTGCAGTCGAGCCAGTTAGGGTTTTATGGAGAAATTTCCCTGCTTTAAATTTCCTCTAAAAGCTAAAAATAAGCATTTGGAAACCAGGTGCTGGGTGTTTATTAACAGTGGTACCTCCAAGCAAGCCAGAGCTCTGTGCAGCCTCCAGTGTACATCACACAGTGGGGACAGACCCTGCCCTGGCCAGGAGACAGCTAGGGAATCCTAAACAGAACCCATCAAACTGCATTCATGAGGAGGTACAGAGGAAGCCTCAGGAGAAATCTGTTATCCCAGACCTTTGGGAGCATCAGAGCTATCACAACATGTCTTGGCCTCCTGCTTTCTATCAGTGTTTCTACATTAATGCTGATTTGTGCCAGGAAAGCCAATGAAATACGCTGGCTTTTCATCAGGAGCCAAGCTGACTGCTGCTGATAAAACACACCAGCCCCAAAGAGCCAGAAATTAAATGCAGTTACACAAGGGAGCAGTACAACGTGGTGAGGTTACTCACCAGAGCTGCCTTGCTCTTACAACAGGATTTACACTATCTTCTCTTGAGGTCAGAGAGTGGTTTGCAGGCTTCACTCTGGCAGTCTGAAACCCTGAACTCTAAGTTCATGCATTATTTCATTGTAAAGGGCTGTTGATTAAACAGACTTTGAGGAGCTCAACAAAAGCACAGCTCCTGTGACTGCAGCCTCACAAAGGTGACTCAGCATTTAGGAGAATCCAGGTATCAAAGCCAAACAATTCCACCTGAGTCTTGGTCAGATAACATGAGGATATCTTTTACTTCTGAAGATACTGAATAAAACCGAGGGAAGCATTTACTTTACGTCAGGTAGTGGTGTTTCAAAATCATGAAACTCTTCAGGCAGCGTAATGGCTTGATAAGTAGCCTCAAAGGTCTGCTTGGGAAGGTCGACAAGGCCTGGAACAGACAACAGCACAAAGTAAGCATCAATAAGGCAAAAGTAATGCTCTCCCACGTATGTGTATTGGAACTATAAACCTGTCAGGAAGGACTGCTGCTGTTCTAATAACAGAAGGGCAAAGCTTAGGCCCTGTGTCAATAGGACCCCAAAGTGGAAGTAAATCCTTCCTTTATGTATATTTTAGACACTATATTTTTTTACAGATACAGCAGAGCCTGCTGCTACAAGACATGAGATAAAGTAAATATATGGGGTTTATTAACAGCTACTTGAAGTCCCTGGAAGATCCTCGCAGCTGACATTTAGCCTGGAGTCTTCCACGCCGCTTCAGATGAATGATTGTGTTTTCTTTCCCTCTGCAGTGCCTGCAGAACTGCTCTTCAGCATCAAATAATTATGAAGCGAGAGTGCAAATACTCACTAATGGGAGGATCTAGGAACAATTCAAGTGGGAAGGGATTTCCAAAGGTCATTTAATGGAATCTTTTGCTCAGAACAGGGTTAGTTCCTAAGTCAGATCACTTCTGACTGTTTCTGATGGAGAATGACAGCATCCCTGAACAGTAACAAGCAATAGGACAGGAGGACACAGCCTCAAGCTGCACCAGGGGAAGCTTAGACTGGATACTGGGGGAAAGAAAAGCTTCACCAAAGGGTTGTCAAGCACTGGAACAGGCCGCTGAGGGCAGTGCTAGAGTCACCAACCCTGGAGGTATTTAAAAGACATGTAGATGTGGTGCTTAGAGGCCTTGGCAGGGCTGGGTTAACAGTTGGACTCAATGATTTTAAAGGTCTTTTCCAACCTAAATAATTCTTTAATCCTATGATCCTGTCCTTGAGAATAATGTAGAGTAGGCATTTGCTACTCTGCAAACAGACCAGGTCACAAAGCACATTAGGGCTGACAATAGATGCTGATGTCCTGTTGGTAGCCTTTTATTAGACAACAGTGCCTCCTCGTTTGCTGCCTAAGAATGACAAACATCCAGCCAGCTGGGAAAGGATCCAGCCTGTCTGCTCCCTCCTCACTGGCTTCATGGGCAGAGTTCAAACCCCACTGTCAGGTCTGGCACTAACACTCGGTTAGGATGCTGCTGGTGTCATCAGAAATTAAAATCAATTAGCTAACAATGGAGGCTGAATTGAAGCTTCTCCTAATAAGACCACTTAAGATATTGCTTCTTTTAAAGGAGTCAGAGACCCAAAACTGTATTAAATTGAACATCAGCAGTAGGCCACTGGTATGTTTGGGATCAATAATGTATATTTAACAGGAATATCCACAATTACCTTTTAAAATGAGAGCTGTAAAGGACACAGGTGGAAAGATGCAGAGCTGCGTACGTACCCGGGCGAAAGGCTGTCTTCATTTTTGCCAGAGCTTCGCTGCAGTCTGCCATGAGGTACTTGGCTTTCCTGTGGTAAATCCTCACCACTCCAAGGAGTAAGTGTCCGGAGGTCCGCAGAGCTATTGTAAACTGGGATGGTTTCAAAAGGTTGGCCAGGAGTTAGGATTTGGGGCAAAACCATTAAAAGGGAAATGTTTAACCATTCAAATGGGAATATTACACAGCAGTGCCAGAGTTCCAGTATCATACATCAATACAAAGCTCTGAAATTCAGCAAGGCTTTGTGCTGATGTAGAGGATCACAACCAGAGCCTGGAAACCTCTAGCTGTTTCTGTTGCTAAACGTTGCCATGCCAGAGGGTGAGGCCTGAACTGAAGCTCTTCCTTTATCTAAATGATCTCAACTAACTTCCAGCAAACAGTGTAACACGCCCTGAAACAGCAAGCAGCTGTGCACAAACCAGTATTTGACGCTTGGGTTATTTAACTGAGCAGATACCATACCTATGCCCTTATTTATGCAAAGTCTTCCTGCATCAAGCACACTCAGGGTGGTGGTGCTGATGTGAGGCAGGACAGCATACAAGGGAAAGTAGAGGACACTCATCTAATACCTCTTGAAAAACACTTCCATATAATATCTATTTAACAGCACTTTGTTAATGGTAACCCACGCAGGACAGTGGGATTCAGGCTGCCAGATATCAAGCAGGTGTTTTCATAGAGGAAAACATACTAATAAAATCTGCTTGCACCAGCTGAAAGCTTGGGATCTCCTGAGCCATTGCCTGGTGATGGTGCAAAGCATTCCTCACCATTCCCTTGGATGCTTCCCTTGGATGGGGTTGCAATGGACTGAGTCACAGGTCCTTGATTACCTGCATCTGTTTGCTTGAGTCACACCTTATCTGGGAGGTGGGGAGGACTTCAGCCTCCTGGACTGGTCATAGAGCCTCTCATAAGCATTAATTATGTACTTACCTGCTTACAATGGGGAACCTGGAAGAAGTCCACTGGAAGTTGGTTATGAGATGTCAAAAGTTATTTATTATAAGATCAGCAGATGCATTCTGCCCACAGAGCAGTGTGCCATGTCACGGCTCTTTATGAGCCCCTTGATATGAACCAGCACCCGGCTGCTCCATCTTTCTGAGGCACAAACACCACCGTTCCCAAGTGCTGTCGTACATGTCACTGCCACGCTGCACTGATGGCCTTGTGCTGCCTCACACCCCTCAGGCCTGGTGCCCACAGTGCAGGCCCCGGAGCTCTGTTCATATGTGGAGAAGCCCATCTGAATGCACTGCGGTAACACTGGCTTACACTGCGTGTTAAATGTACACCCCAGCCCTCCAGGAAGGTGATTGCAGCTTCACTATTCACAAGCTGCCCTACTGCAACCTCAGTATTCACGTAACTGCCATACTGACATGGGGATGATCGGGGCAGGATCACCTCCCGTATGGAGCCAGGCTGAGAAAGTTGGGGCTGTTCAGCCTGGGGAAGAGAAGCTGCGTGGAGACCTCAGAGCAGCTTCCAGTGTCTGAAGGGGGCCTATAGGGATGCTGGGGATGGACTCTTCATTAGGGACTGCAGTGATAGGACAAGGGGTAACGGGTTCAAACTGAAACAGGGGGAGTTTAGATTGGATCTAAGGAGGAAATTCTTTCCTGTGAGGGTGGTGAGGCACTGGAATGGGTGCCCAGGGAGGCTGTGAATGCTCCATCCCTGGCAGTGTTCAAGGCCAGGTTGGACAGAGCCTTGGGTGAGATGGTTTAGTGTGAGGTGTCTCTGCCCATGGCAGGGGGGTTGGAACTGGATGATCTTAAGGTCCTTTCCAACCCAAACCGTTCTATGATTCTATGATTCTATGATTCTATACTGCAACTCCACTATTCCCATATCTGCCCTGTCACAGGGGTTTACTCGAACGAGAGTCAAATAAAACCCGCGCAGTTTCCCTCCCGCTGGCTTTGGAACAGCCCCAGCTTCACCCGATGGCACAAACCCTCTGAGGCTGGACCCCTCTGCCCCACAGCCTCCCGGCTTGTCCGGCCCACCTTTGGCGAGAGGATCTTCTCGATGGTGGCCTCCAGGTTGCACTCGAAGATGTGAGCTTTGGTGAGCTTCTTCTCCCAGTGCGCGGCCAGCCAGATCTTGGCCAGGGGCCCGCGCTTGTTCACCAGCAAGTGCATGTAGAACATGGCGCCCGCGCTGAGGGCAGCCCCCGCTGCCTCCCACCCCTGCTAGGAGCCCGGCTCCGGCCAGAGAAGGGGTTTAATGGGACACTGAGGGGGTGAGGGGGATTTGGTGGGATCCTAAAGGAGAGGGCAAAGGGATTTGATGGGATGGGGGGGATCCAGCCAGGCCCTGAGGGGAGGAGGGGGTGTAGCAGGCCCTGAGGGACGGAGGTCACCTCAGCTGGGTGCTGAGGGGGCAATGGGGATCTGAGGGGGAGTGAGGGGATGGGGGAGATTTATCAGGACAAGGGGGGGTTTGGTGGGATCCTGAGGGGGTTGGGGGGGGGTACCTGAGGGGATGGGGACGGGGGGGCTCTTAGGGGATGGGGCAGTGGATCCTGAGGGGATGGAGGGAGCTCACCCGGTGCTGAGGGAGTGGAGGGGCCCTGAGGGGACCCAGCGGGCACCAAAGGGTTTGGGGGGGTTTATGGGTGCTGAAGGGACCCAGTGGGCACCGGTGGGGTTTGGGGGGGGGGTTATGGGTGCTGAGAGGACCCCGGTCCCGCGGCGCTCAGCTCCGTCCGGTTCGGACCCTCCTCAGGGGCTCCTGCGCGCTCCCGCCAAAACCGGCCGGGGGGGGGGAGGAGATAACGCGCGCGGCGGCGGGAGCGCGCCCTGGGCGCGTGTCCGTGCGGGGTGGGGGGGGAACGACACCCTCCCGGGGACCGGCTCCGTGGTGCCCGCCTTGCACCGATGGGCACAGCCCCGGGACCGGCGGCTCCGCGGGGCGCTCCCGCAGGGAACGGTGCTGGGAATGACCCCATTGCTGTGCGGTCAGCAGGGAGCGCGCACCCACCGGCGGGAGCAGGATGCACCTGCATCACCTCCTCCATCTTCAGTGCCACCTTTTCCCTCCTCCTCCTCTTCTCCTTCTCCACCACCGCCCCCTCTTTTTCACCCTCTTTCTCCTCCTCCCAGCCTCTTTCCCCCTTGCCCTTCCGAGAGCTCCCTTGGGAAGCTTTCCCATCTCCCTCCCTGCGGGCGAGCAGCTCCCCAGGGGCTCCAGGCACGTTTGCGGAAGGAAGAAAAGAAAGGAAATAGAAGCAAAAAGAAGAGCTTCGGACCCGACCCTGTGCACAGGGAGGAGGGTGAAGGCGCTCGGCCGCCCGCCTGCATCAGCCACAGCCACCGCTGAGCCTGTCTGCGCTTACACGGTACCACCAGAGCATCACCGGCTCCTCATCCCTCTGCCTGATGCTCTCCGCGCTTTGTTTTCCGTTCAGGCAGAGCAGTGAGGATCCCGGTGCAGCTGCTGCTGCTGGGGCTCTCCCAGCGGGCTGGTGCTAGGTGATGATATCCAGATCCCAATTAGCACCAGGGCCTGCTCCCAGGGCAGCTGCAGCCGGGATCAGCAGGGGGCAAGCAGGGATCAGCAGTGCTAGGAGGGGAGGTCACAATGAGCCCGGCTCCTCCGGTCCTCCCTCCCTCCCTCCCTGCCCGTGCCCCCTTCGGTCCTGGCTCCCGCATTGCCCCGCTGCTTGCTCCCGACCTCCGAGTCACCTTGAGCCGTGCTGGCCGCGGGCGTTCGCTCTGCTTGGGATGCTGTGAGTGCTGAGGAGGCAGGAGTGAGACCTCACCCATGGTGGGGCTGGAACGGGGTCACCCCCACCAGCAGCCGGGGCTGTGCTGCAATAGGGGTGCGCTGGAGGGGTCTGAAGGGATGGAGCCGCATCCAGAGCCCTTCCATTCCTGCTCCCACTGTCCTTTCATGGTACGAGGCTCCCGTTTGCTGGCTCTCCCATCCCCATTTAATCCTTTTGGCCAAGCAATGGCACAGCAGCCCCACACTGCTCCATCTCCCAGGCTCCCTCCCTCTGTCCTGTTCCTATGCCTTTCCAAGCCCTCAGCCTCTCCCCTCCAGCGCTCCTGCAGATTCATTGTGCATTTTGGCAGCGCTGTCTTTGACCTTGGCTCTCTCCCTTCTCTCTTTGCTCCTGCGCTGGCAGCATAAATCTTGGTTGTCTCCATCTCTCCTTCCCTGCATGCCAGAGCCCTGGGAATGGAGCAGCCTTTGCCAGCCCCCAGCGGGATCAGGAATGGGCTTTGGGGTGGAGGTCATCACCCTGCTCCCATGTGGGACCCAGAGGCAGCGACATGTGTAGGACGCATCCCTTCACCTCATCCATCGCAGGCATCCTCTCAAGTGGGATCAGGATGCAGGAACTAAGCAGTGTTCCCCTTGTTCCCAGGGATTTTGGTGATGCCCTAGGTAGCAGTCCCAGTGCTGGCACACTGTGTGTTCACACGCATGTGCCCGCCTGCTCCAGATCCATCTTTTCCTGCTGATTCGGGACAATCTGCGTCCCGTGACCTACTTGTCTCCAAGCATCTCCTGCCTTCCCGCCGAGTGGGCTGGCACTAAAGCCTCTCGGAATGTGCTTAACGTGTCGGGATGCACTCACGGTTATTTTTAATCCTGCTTTTTTCTCGGCCCACTTCTGGATGCATCCCTAGGGATGCGGTGCTGGGAAGCATCCGCCTTTCCAAACAGGGCAGCGAGAGGGGACGGGAGCAGCACACACAGCCTGCGATGCCAACTTCAGAACTAACCAAATCCCATGTAGCCCTGCCGTGACATGGCACAAAGTGATGGGAGACCCCAGCCCACCCCACAGCCCCCGACCCTGCTGCAGTGCAGGGACTGGAAGCGTTGGGTGTTGGTCCCCCCTGCACCCCGAGCTCATCACCCAGCACCAGCATCACCCTGGGTAATGGTGGGTGAGCTTGTGAAGGCGCTGGAGGCACCTGAATGTGCTGAAGGGGCCGTCAATGTGATGGACAAATCTTCCTGACAGCTTTCAGCAGCAATCTCTCAGGGTTTACATCCACCATCTGCAGGCACCGCTCCTAAGGTGGGAATAGCACATGTCCTGGTAACAAACCAGCTCAGAACGTGCTGGTGCCAGTGGGTGCTGTGGGGCTCACAGTGTGGGTTGGGAGCAGTGGGTACCAACACCGGTGCTGTGTGAGAAATGGAATAAACAGTGTTGGTGAGAGGTGGGGTGATGGAGGCTCTGTGCTGTGGGACTACAGTGGGACAGTGGGGATGGCTCTGAGTAGCCAGCACCTCCGTGGGCTCCTGTGGAGCCTCTCATGCATGGTCCAAGCCCAGGTCAAGCCCTGCATCCCCAGGGATTTGGGGCAGGCTGGATCCTTGCAGGGGCTCCTGGCTGGGCTGGACCTCTCCCTGCTGCATTCAGGGCTGCATTGAGTGTCCCCAGCTCTGCCCTGGGTCCCCAATGGGGACAGCAGCTTGTGGAGTGCCCACCCAGCACCACTGGGAGCATCCCACGGTCTCCCCTATGCAAAGCCCACCGTGCTGCTCCATCCCCTCCATCCGTGCCCACCCCACGCATCCTGCCCCCACGGAGGGTCCCGGTGCTGTCGGGGGGTGCCCTTATCGCGGGCAGGGGGTGCAGAGCCGGTGCCGGTACCGCGGGCGTGTGTGAGTGCCCCCCGGGGCAGCCCGTTGTACGTGTGTGTGTGTGTGTGTGTGTGTGTGCGTGTGCGGGCGGCGGCGGAGCGCGCCCTGGGGACGGGCAGCTCGGGGCACCGGCGGCGCCGGCACCGGGGGTAGGCAGCCCGGCGAGGAGGGGGGGGGACCGGAGGAGCGGGAGCGGGGAGCGGCGGGTGCGGGTACCGGGGAGGTTGGGAGCGCTCCGGGGAACCGGCGAGGAGGGAGAGCCCGACGGGGGAAACGGGTCCCGGGGTGCCCGGTTCGGGGCGGTGCTGCTCGGGGAGGGAGAGACCGAGGGAGGGACGATCCGGTTCGGGGAGGCAGGTGCCGGGTCCAGGGAAGGGGAGCAGCGCGGTGCGGGGAGGGGGGACAGCCCGGTTTGGGGACCCGTATCCGGTGGGCAGCCCCGTTTGGGGACCCGCGGGTGGGTTGGCAGCCCGGTCTGGGGGTGCGGCTCCGGTTCCGGGGGGGGGGGGGGGAGCGGGATCCCGGCGGGGGGGAACAACGCGGGCCGGGGCTCGGTTTGCAGGCGGGGCCGGGGAGCACCGCGCATCACCTCAGCCCGCGCAGGCCGGCGGCGGCTCCATGGCGGCCCCGCGGGCGGCGGAGCTGCGGAGCCCGGGCGAGGAAGCGGCGGCGGCGGCGGCGGCAGCGGGAGGGGGGTCCCCGGCGGGCCCGGGGCTGGCGCTGGCTCTGTGCTGCGCGCTGGGCGGCGCGGCGCTGGTGGTGCTGGCGGGGGCCGTGCCGCGGGCGGCGCGCCCCGACCCGGCGGTACCGGCGCGGCAGATGGAGCGGCTGGAGGAGCGGGCGGCGCGGCTGCGGGCCCGCCTCGACCGCTGCACCGTGGCCGGGCTGGCGCTGCTGGCGCTGGGGGGGCTCCTGCTCGCAGCCCTGCTGCTGGGCGCAGCCGCCGCCCGCCGCCGAGCACGGGCCGCCCGTCGCACCGGGGGCACCTACGGCTCCGTGCGGCTGCGGCTGCGGCGGGTGTCGGCAGAGGGGACGCGGGCGCTGCTGGAGACACAGCTCAGCCCCCAGCAGCCGCCCCCCGAGGGGCCGGGCTCTTAGCACCCAGCGCACCCCGGGGACCCCCAGCCGCAGGCAGGAGCGGGGCTCCCCAACACCGATGCCCCCCGGTGAGGCTCCACCCGCACCCGGCCGCCTTTCCTCACCTCCCGGACCCTCCTTGGATGGGGATCCCCTTGGCAGCATCGGAGCGATGTGGGTTTGGGTGCATGGCCCCACCACCAGCACTGGCAATGTGGCCTTTGGACACCCCCCTCGCCTCCCCAGCACCTTCCTGGATGGGGTCCTGCTCACCAGCATCGGCACAACGGCACCTTAGGGATACCTGTGGGATTTCAGTGCCGTGGTTGGTCATGGGCTGGACACGAAGCCACAGCCGCAGCCGGCTCCTTCCCGGCATCCAGGGCAGCGCCGGCTGCTCCTCTGGGATGGAGCTCCCCATTTTCAGCCATCAGTGACCTTTGTAGCAATAGTTCCCTGTGAACTCTGCGGTGTGGATTTGGTGCTTGCCCCATGCTGGGCAGGA